CACTTTTCTCAATTCAGTCCTGGATTTAACATGGTGGATGCTCACGTGATCCGGAAAAGGAGATCAAAGGTGCCGACACGAAGTGGACCTACTGGTTATACTGTGGATCAAAGGCGCTGACACGAAGTGGACCTACTGGTTATACTGTGGTTTATGCTTTCATGTGTTCCTGGCCTAACGGTAATCGATTCTGTCCCTCGAAAATTTTCACAAACTCAGAAGTGATCACTTTTCTACATTAATGCACATAGCCCATGCACAATTTCATTTCGTTAATTGTGCATGGACTATGTGCATTAACGTAGAAAAGTGATCACTTCTGAGTTTGTGAAATTTTCCGAGGGACAGAATCAATTATCAATTTGGATGTTTGTACAGAGCATAAGTATAGCATAAGACCGTAGGACCAATGAACATCCAGCATAAAGTCGCCATACTGATTTACATGATTCTCATTGGTCTAGCCGCCATTTGTATATATGTATGTATGTATGTATGTATATATATATACACGGGACAATAATGCTTACATATTTGAAGTTGCATGCGTAACTAGAGAGACCAATGAGAGGCGCTTTCCGTCCAACGTGTACTTCTCATTAGTCTCTCTAGTTACACATGCAACTACAGATGTGTAGGCATTATTGTCCCCGTGTGTAGTACATAGTACTATATACGTATACATACTAATTGATCGAAAATTGACGTCTCTTTATGGAACTCTCATATAAAATCGTTTGTATTTAGTATGAATACTTTTGAAGTGCAATTAAAAAGGTTTGTGTGTTTGTGTGTTTGTGTGTGTTTGTGTGTGTGTGTGTGTGTGTGTGTGCGTGCGTGCGTGCGTACGTGCGTGAGAGAGAGAAAGAGAGTCATTTAATTAATTGTAATTAATTAATTTTTCGCCATGCGTTTAGCCGAAATGAATAAATTAAACAAAGTTTTTGTATGGAATCGTTTTTATTTTGTATAAAGAGTTATGAAGTGTACAATATAGCACCGACGAGATACTCTTAAAGACCGACAGCCCTGGACAAATTTTCGTGCCAACAAATGGGCCCGGTGGGCCCGGAGGTAATTGCAGAGTGTCGATGTTATCAACTTTTGACATAAATTTGCGATTTATTTAAATAATATAT